ATCATGCTCCTGCCTCCTTGCACGGGCTGCCTCTGGCTGCGGGGAGCCCAAGGACACATCCCATCCCCTCCCACACGGGCAGCCGAGGGACACATCCCATCCCATCTCATCCCACACGCACTCGTGTGCGGGGATGAGCACGTCACACGTATGACGTTCTTCCCGGCAGTGGTGGGAGGGAAGCTCCCGTTCGGAGTTGGGGATGCAGCAGGGATGAGTGGGGCGCCCAGGGATGCCGCGGTGGGTACCACAGAGGTTCCTGAGAGCCCCTGAGTGCCCCCAAAGCACTGCACGGCCCAGGAATAGTCCAGCCCCACCCCAGACCTGTGTCCCAGCCCTGCATCCCAGCCCATTCCAGCCCTGCATCCCAGCCCTGCATCTCAGCCCATCCCAGCCCTGCATCCCAGCCCCATCCCAGCCCACCCCCAGCCCCATCCCAGCCCATCCTCCCGCTGAGCTCTCCATGAGCAGGTGAAGCAAGCCAGGGATGACGTGCCAGGCGTAAAACGTGGCATGAGCTGCTGCTTCACTCGCTGGCAGTGAGGAGGAGGAGGAGAGTTTGGTGATGAGCACAGCACAGTCTGTACCCTGGGAGAAAAGGCCTGCCTGTGGTGGTGGGAGATGGAAGGGGATACTTCAGATTGGAGACCAGCTGGAGTAGCTGAGAGGATATTAAACTGCCAGAGCAGGGAAACACGGCTTGGAGGAGAAACAGTGCACAAACCCAAATTCCTCTCGTGGGGGCCAGGCTGAGCCAGTCAGTGTTAATGAACTGGAAAAAAAGGGAAATTTCAACTGCAGCACTTCCAGGAGTCTCCATGCCCAGTCCAGGGAGGATGGTGGTAATTGCAAAGCCCTCTAGGCTGGCTGTTGTGATGGAAGTGTCAGAGATTCCTGATTGCAGCCTGCTCACACAGAAGCTGGGAAATGCAGAAGGTGCCCTAATGTGACAACACCAGCATCTGAGTCTCATTACAGCCATGCAGCAAACGTGCTTGCAATCCACAGAGAAGTGTGACATTCCTAAATCTGGCTATACAACATTTTGCAGACAAACTGCAGAATTTTTGTGCTCTGCACAGAAGTTCCTTGCCCTAGCAAGCAGCCTTTGGGACCGGCCTGAGCCAGAGCTCTAACCTTGCCAGAGAGAGCAGCAAGATTAAAGCTTGCAACACCTTGATTGTGTCAGCCAGATGAGCTCTTGAATTGTTTGAATGTCAGTAACGTTGCACAAGTTTGATAGTCAAATAAAATTAATTGTATATTTAATAATTAGTTACATTTTTTTCTCTTGGCCATATTCTGCCCTCCCCAAACAGAAGACACCAGAGAGCTCAGGCACCAACTCTGCCACTGCTCAGTTGCTTCCTACAGATCCACCCAGGTGCTGTCAACTCACCAGTACTAAAAGGACCAGGGCATTCACTCAGGTAAAGTTTTACACAGCCCCGAGCTGGAGCTGACTTTTAGTCCAAACAGTGCAGGATTCGCAGGCACATTGCCTCAGCTTTGGCAGCATGACAGTCACACTCCTACAAAAGCATTTTACAGTTAGTTACAGCACTGCCTTTCAGCACAATTAATGATCTGAGAGGATGCAGTATGCCAAGACAGGTAAACTCTTCTGGGGTTTGGACTCTGTGCTGCTGGCTGTAGGCTCTAGAGGCACAGGAGGGAAAGGCTCATCCTGCACCTTCTGCAGATCATGAGCAAAGCACAGAAAGGTTTGTGAGAGAGGGGAAGCAGCAGTGGGCAGTGTGGGCAGGCAGCCTGCTGCTGATCCCCTTTATTTCACAGCAGGAGCAGGACTGGAAATGCAGCAGCCCATATGCACGTCCGTCTGCCCAAAGCCTTCCCCCTTTGATAAGGATGGTACAGGCTGTGCTGAGCTGCACCTCGATAAATATCAGCCAATTCTCTCTCTCTCTAGAGGGGCAGCTGCCTTCTGTACCATCCAAGGACTGAGGACAAGTAGCTGAAGTCATTCTGCTCTCCTTGGAAGCACAGCAGAGCCAGGGCAGTGCAGGCAGCCCCACAGGTGTCTCAGGGGTTCATTCTTTAGCACAAAGTACCCTCAGAACTGCTTCAAAGACTTCTCTGGGCAGGCACAGTTAAGCCTTTTATTTTAATTAACCATCTTTCCTTGGGTATACCAGAGTCCCAAGGTCTGGCTTTCAATTTTGCAAATGGAAAAGGTGTTGCAGTGATACACTTATCTAAGGCAGACGTGCTGCCAGCCTCCTAAATTCCCTTTTTTCCACGCATGTACGTGAGCTGTCCTCAAATCTGTGTGCTGAGACATGCACATCTTATATTCCAATAGTGCTTTGCACCCCCCTCCTCGAGGTTTTGTTGCAGCCCCACCAAAAATATATATTCACATGACTCTGGAATAAAACAGGAAAGTCTCATCTGCCTGGGTAGCTCCCTGGTGAATTTACATTCTTCTTTCCTTAAGAGCTCTATTTTCTGCATTTGTTGGGATTATGGTAACCTTTTCTGTTTAAAATTCTTGATCCAGGTTTCTGTAAATAGAAGAGGAGAGGAAATTAACAGTGGAACCAGCGAAACTCATCTCACTTCTCAGAATTGATTCTCTGACCTTTTTCACTGTCTGTGTCCCACCCCCCCGAAGATCTGCTTTTCATCTGCACCATTCCAACCTCCCGCAATAGGGGAAGTCCCCGAAGCTTTCTGAGCCCTTTTAAAAGAGCCCACGCCTGCAGCCAGACGCCGAGCTCCGTTCCTGGTAAGGTTTTCAATCTCTCTCACCCCTCTGTCTGGGTTCTGTACGTCACCCCCTTTCCTCCGGGGTGGGCAGGAGGGGGACGGGGCTGCTGCTGCTGTGCTGACTCCTGACTGGGTCAGCAGCGCGGCTGGGCTAGGCTAGGCTGGGCTAGGCTGGGCTATAAAACCGAGCCGAGGCAGCGCAGCTGGCTCACACGGCCGCCGGAGCCCCGCAGCCAGCGCAGGACCCGTGCGCAGCTCTGCCTCCTCCTCCTCCTCCTGCTGCCTCCTTGTTTTTCCTGGAATACTGATCCGACCCCGCCAACAAGATGTGCAAGGGACTCGCTGCGCTGCCAGCCACTTGCTTAAAAAGGTACTGTTTATTTCTGAGCATCTGGGAACGGTCTCGGAGCCCGGAGACGCGCTGATGAGCTGAGCTTTGTGTCCGATTTGGCTCCGATTGTTTTGCAAGATTAGATACAAATGATTGCTTTGAGGCTTTTGTTTTTTCCCCAGCTAGAAGCAGAACCGCAGAAAGGTGTTGTACCGAGCTGTGGGAACTCTAAAGCCTTCCTTCCTTCCTACCCTCCCCATCATCAAACCCAGCAGCTTTCAGCATTGCGATGTTTTGATATTCCTGTCAGCTGCTTCTGCTGCAGTCTTTGCACCCTTTTTTTCCTTTGGGTCCTCTCTGCTAAATTTTCTTGATTCTTTGGAGGGGGGAAGCAAGGCAGGCAGGATAAAAATCAATGATTGTTCCCTGAAAATGCGTTTGGGATGCAGAAATGCAGCCTGGCAGGAGCAGAGAGCCGTGTGCCCGCAGGCAGGGATGCAGGGCACGGGGGTCGGGATGCGGCACCAGCTGCTGTGGGATCAGCCCGAGGTCCTGGGTGATGCTGAGGGGCCAGGTTAGGCTGAACCCCGGCGCTGTGGGGTAGGTGTGGGGCTCAGCACACCCCTGCTGTGTGGTGCCAGCCAGGATGGGCTGAGCTGCAGCCCTGCGGGACTGGCTGCACGCCGGTGTGTGGGATCAGCAGAGCAGATGTGCACAGCCCCAGATGTGCAGCATGGCCTGCCCCACAGCCCAGCAGGAGGGCTCTGCAAGTGGGACCAGCCCTCCTGGAGGGTGTTACTCCCTTTCAGGTGCTCTAGGGCCTGGAGGTGCCCAGGAGGGAGGCACAATGCTCCCTTCTCATCCAGCCCATCCAAACTCTGCGGGTCCCTGATGGTGCAGTGCTGCCTTTCAGCAGCTGTGCAGAGGGCTGGGAAAATGTGAGCAGACACTCAGGTGGCTCCCATCTGGAGGATAAACCTTCCTGCCCACGGTTGGATTTGAAAACAGGTGCTGAAAATGCAAGGGAAAAGTGTTGACATTTCCAATTTGCAGGAACATTTGATGAGGATTTAAAAATAAATTGAAAAAATGCACTGAAAAATAGTTCACATTTTTAAACACCTCTGTCCAGGATTCCCAGCAAAATGCCTCTCTCCCAGAAAGCTGTGGGACTGGCTGCAAGCAGCAGTGTCTTGTTTCTTCCTGCTGCCACCCTCCTGCAGACCTGAGCAGTCTCCTTCTCTGGGCAAGGAGCACGACAGTGCCAGGCAGCCCAGAGTGCCCATGTGTGCCTGGGCAGAGCCTGGATGGTGGTGCTGGCCACAGACACCCTGCTCTAAAGCAGCTGTGAGCTGCCTTTGCTGTCCCCGAGTGCTGGAGCTGTTAAGGAATCATTTCTGAGGCCAGCAGTGGGTTCAGATATGGCCAGGACACCTGGCAGGGGGCTGGAGCAGGGAGCAGGGCTGGGGGGTGAGAAGAGCTCAGCCCTGTGGCACAGCCTCCTGCTCTTTTCCAGGCTCAGATCTGAGGAGAAGGAGAAGAATTTCCTGCTTTACCCTCTCACTGCACCTTGGGGCAGGCCAGGGCTTGTGCCCCTGGGCAAGCAGGAATGGTTTACCCAGCCCTCCCTCATTCTTAAACTAGAAGGAAACCCAGAGAGGTGCCAAGGTATCAGCTGCATATCTAGAAGCTGCTATGAGGAAATGGCTGTCCTGAGCCTGCTGGGAGGTGGAACAGAATTCAGGATGAATCTTCAGAGGAGCTTGCTGTGGAGCAGGGAGTAGCTTGCAGTCAGCGTGGGCTGGTTGTGGTGGAGCTCTTGGCTCATCCCCTGATCTCAGCCCACAGTCCTGCTCCAAACCATTGGCTTCCTCCCTCTCCTCTGTGTCATGGGCTTGCTGGGGTGGCCTGGCATGGCCCTGCTGCTCCTGTGGCTGGCTGATGAGGTGGGGAAATGGCAGGGGCTGCAGGAAAGGATTAGTAAGGGTGTAAGAATCACACATTGGCAGCTGGGCAAATCAGCTCAAGGAGAGGTGACACACACAGCATGGTGATGCTTTTCTGTCACAATATTTCTACTGTAAACAGTAGGCAAACAGCAGCTTCTCCCTCTTTGCCATCTGCTTCCAGGCTGATGACCTTCTCAGCCAGAAGCTGTTCAACATGAAAAATGACTTCGTTGGCATGGTTGTATTTGTCTAGAAACAAAAATGTGCCTTATGTGATGAGTGGAAAACCAGCCCTGGAGTCCCTGTCAGCGACCTGCATTTGTGTCATTGAGTAATTCTGGAGGAGGCTGCAGAGGGAGTGCAAAGAATTGTCTTCAGCTCCTCCTTGATTTTTTTTTTTTTTTTTTTTTTTTTTTTTTTCATTTTTTTTTTTTTTTTTTTTTTTTTTTTTTTTAGTGCCAAAGACATGAAGCACCGCCTGGGCTTCTTGCTGCAGAAGTCAGATTCCTGTGACTACAGCTCTTCCCAGGGCAAGAAGGAGAAGATATCTTCAAGCCAGAGGTAAGAGCAGGTGCTGTCACCCAGTCAATCCCAGACTGGCTGCAGCATGTTACTCCTCCCCGAGCTGGACTCCATCAGTGTTTGTGCTGCTGTTCCCAGTTCTTCCTGAGAACACCTGTGCTTGGATCCAGTGTGGCAATAGCTCCCAGGTGCTGATGGTCCTGTCAGGTGACTGTCAGCACCTGAGGACTTCCATTGCCACGAAGAAAGCTGAACTAGCCACTTCTGTGATTCAATATGGATGAGCACAGGGGAGGGCGTGTGCAGTGTTCTGCACAAGGGAATGACTCCATTCCAGACCCAGTGCAACCAGACATTGCAGAATCAGCATGCCTGCCTCCTTGAGCTGGATTTGTGCAGTGCTCCACACAGCTGTAGGCACACACAACAGCCAGCAGCCTGTCAGGGCATCACTGCTCTCCCCGAGCTCCGAGGAGACAGTGATCTCTCCAAAGAGAACTCCAAAATCCAGGATTGGCTCCTGGAACAGATGAACCAACCCTAGGGTGTTCTAGTATGGTGGAGGGAATGAATGCAGGATGTGCTCCCCATGTGTTCCTACATTCCTCTCTTCCACATAGCTACTGTTCCCCTGGCAGGTTAAAGGAATCAGCCCTTTGGAGTTCACTGATCAGACCTTGAAGGGTGATCCCATGTCTGTGCTCCAGCAAGAGATGCAGCCAGGCACAAAATAAATACAAATTCCACAGTAATTTTCCAGGAAAATTAATTTCTAGCCCATGTCTGGTGATGAGGGTTGCAAACCGAAATTTCTGTAGGTTAGATCTGGGATCCTGGGGGTATCTGTAAAACAAGCTGGTATTTCATTCTCAGTCTCTTGTGTATGCTCTTACAACAACAAGAAAAAAGATTTTTCTAGTGGTGCTGAGAAACAAACCAAAATTGTCCTTTCTGTACTCTCTTTAACTCAGCCCTGTGTTTCTCCCTTTGTCTCTCCTTAGGCTTAGCCAAGAGGAAGTCAGGAAATGGGCAGATTCCTTGGAAAATCTGATCCATCACGACAGTAAGTGGAGAGGGCTCTCAGACTCGTGCAGAGCATGTGTGCTGTGAGCAGGCTGGGAGGGGACAGGGGACATCACCTTATGTCTCCTGGGGCACCCAGGAGCTCCTCAGACCCCTGGCAGGGCTGGGGAAGGGGCTCTTGCTCCCATCCGAGGCAAGGGTCAATCCCAATGCAGAATGAGTGTGTTTTTTTTTTCTGAGCTGTCTCTTTTGTGAAGGCAACTGGTTTAGCCCTTGTGCAAGAAGAGGGCAAGTGGGACACGCAGTTAGTGGTGGGTTAAAGAAGAGCCAAAAAGTGGAGATGTTATTTGCAGCTGAGCCCATGGGAGACTTTGTCTTCCCATCAGCTGTGGGCTGCACTGGTGTCTTTGAGGTTTCCATCACATTGTTCCCATGGTCTGAGGCTCTGTGGAGAGTGCTGGATGTCTCCTCAGGGTCTCCTGGGAGCACACGAGCTGCTTGTGTTCCCCTGGCAGGAACTCTGAAGGTCACAGGGGGGGAAAAGGCAGCTGGGGGCCCACGTGTGACATCCCCATGGGGTCAGCCTGAATTCCAGCAGGCACCAGCTGTCCCCACTGCCAGCCCAGGGCAGCTCTGGGAAGGAGAACCCACAGTCACTGTGTGCTGGGGTCCAGGGACCAGCACTCTTACGTGACCTGCTTCTGCTCTGAACAATCCCTAGGAGGACTGGCTGCTTTCCGTGCTTTTCTCAAGTCTGAGTACAGCGAGGAAAACATCGAGTTTTGGGTCAGTTGTGAGGAGTACAAGAAAACCAAGTCACCAGCCAAGCTCAGCCCCAAGGCCAGGAAGATTTATGATGAGTTCATCTCAGTGCAGGCCACAAAAGAGGTACGTGGGCAGAGGCACCTCCCTAAATTCTGAACCAGCAGCACAAGCAGAGGTCAGCAGTTTCACAGGAGATAAAGGCTTCTGCTTCTCTGCTAGTTAGCAAGGACGTGGTGGGGTTTTCATTGACTTGATATTAAACTTGGATAGGGAGAAAGTGTGTTTAGTTACAACCACACAGCCATTCCATGGGCACACCCAAATGGGAGAAGCCCAAGAGGACTCTGATTTCCAATGCTTCAGGTGCTGCCATGCAGTTTGAGTTTCCTGGCTGGCTGGATGTGTGTCAGTCCTCCCTTCTGGTAGCAGGGGAGCATTGATATCCAGCTGCACAGGTTCTGCTGAGGCCACAGGGTGTCAATGGCCATTTCAGACAACTGCTTGCCAAGCACACGTACTAGGGAGACTCTCGGATTTTCCCTTTCCTCTGCCCCTTCTGGGACAGGTTCCTCTCACACTGTGCCTTTGGCCCGCAGGTGAACTTGGATTCATGCACACGGGAGAAGACCAGCCACAATATGCTGGAGCCCACGCTGTCCTGCTTCGATGAGGCTCAGAGGAAAATATTCACCCTCATGGAGAAGGATTCTTACCGCCGCTTCCTCAAGTCCCCTTACTACCTGGACTTGGTCAGCCCGCCTGGCGCCGGCTGTGGGCCCGAAAACTGCAAAAGAAACCACACTCACAGCTTAGACTGCAACTCCAACATCATCTCCCAGTGTGCCTGAGCCTGCAGCACGGCAGGGCTGGGCTCTGCACAACATAGGGCAGCAAAAGCACTCATTGGCATGAAGCAACAGAGCTGTCTCCAGTAGCTGTCTAATGTCCCAGTTGTGTCCCATGTCATGCAACAGCCAGCATTTGTAACCCCATCCGGGCTCAGTGTGTGCAGCAAAGCCTCCTCTGATGGGTCGGGGCAGGAGCTGGGGGCAGGGTCCAACAGGAGCTGGGGCTGTTTTTGGCAGGAGCTGGGGGCGGTGGCTGTGTGTGCCAGGCTTCTACCAGCCCTGCCAGCCCAGGAGCTGCTGTGCCAGCCCTGGCTCTGCCCACAGAGGGACCAGGCTGGCAAGGTCACCCCGTGACACCCAGCGAGGTGCAGGGCAGAGAGGAAGCCCAGGGAAGCGCTGGGGACTGGGATCTCCCCTTTCCAATCTGCAGAGGTTTAGGTGAAGAGGGCTGCTCTGGTCCTTAGCTATCCATAGCTCCTCGGTGTCCAGGCTGTCAGGAGTGTTTGCCCAGGGCTCAGGCTGTGCTGCATTGCAGTACCAGGCACAGGAAGAGCTCCTGCTCTCTCTTGAAGGGAGACCAAAGCTTTTTGGACAGCCTCCCTCCATCCCTACAGCCAGGGTTCAGGGGAGCCCAGCCTCCCTCCATCCCCACAGCCAGGGTTCAGGGGAGCCCAGCCTCCCTCCATCCCCACAGCCAGGGTTCAGGGGAGCCCAGCCTCCCTCCATCCCCACAGCCAGGGTTCAGGGGAGCCCAGCCTCCCTCCATCCCCACAGCCAGGGTTCAGGGGAGCTCAGCCTCCCTTGGCCACCACGGGAAGCTCTTCCCTCCAGCCCTGCTCCTCTGTGGCATCACGTTCATGCTGGCCAAGGATCCTCCCTAGGGCTGTGCAGAGCTGTCACTTTGGGGGAGGCTCGTTATTCCCTGTGTTATTAATTGTGACCTTCACACTCCTGGGTTAAACACTCCAGCAGAGCAGAAACGTGTTCCTGCTCTCCCAGCCAGGTGTGTATGCCATGCTCTGGGAGGGCCATTTGGGTTCAGGTTTGCCTGTCCTGGCTTGTAAGGAGCAGCTTGTGAGGGAACAGGACCACAATATCTGAGGAGGAAAGGCCTCGCTTGGGAGTCCTTGAAAATGAGTTTTTTGAGGTGTTATTTATGTATTTCAGTAGTAGCATGGCTCAATTTCCTGAAGATGGCAGGAGGAATGTGTCTATCTCATTACTGGCAAAGCTCACTGTTTAATTGCTGTGGTGAGACACGGCCTTTGCTGTGGGCTTGGGCACTGCCTGCAGTGGGAAGCACGGGAGGCGGCTGCAGCATCCCTGCAGCTCCTGTCCTCTCCTGCTGCAGCCCCCGGTGTGTCACTGTCCCCAGCCTTGGTCCCTCCTTCATTAGGTACTGCTGCTCTGGCCACGGTGCATCCTGCACTGCATCCCAGCCCAGACAACAGCTCTCACACCGGGGTTTTGGCATGGCAGGAGGAGGCTCTGGCTCTCCAGGCCCATAGAGAAACTCCATTTTTAACGTGTGCTTTATTTTGTATTTATTCAGTGTACTAACACCTATCACCATGCATGTTCAGCTAAGAGGTGGAGAGGCTTGCTAAAGCTCTGAACATAGCCAAGCATGTGGCTATGTTTTATTTCCCCCTGGTACTGGGAACTCTTGGTAACTATTGAAAAACTGTATCAATATTTAAATAATGATGAATGCAGTCTAAATAAAAATGTTTGCGTTACTCCCTTCTGAAGTGCCATTATGTGAACAAAAGAAAATGCACGGGATCCAATTCCTTGAACAAGGCTGCTCTGAAAAGTTATGTTACAAGTGGCTTCACTCAGAGATTGTTTTAAGTCACAGGAAGATGAAACAACAATTATATCCTGCAGACACCTTCAGCACCACGAGCCTGGGGGACACGGGGTTTTTATGGCTCTGTGCCTTGCCTGACCATCAGCTCAGCATGGGGACCAGCCATCCTCACCGAGGGTCTGAGGTGAGTGTGGGGCCCCCCTTGACAGCCTTGGAGTGGGGAACATCAAGGAGCCCTTCCCTGAGCAGACAGAACACATTTTATGTCAAAGCTGAGCCTGTCCCCCTGTGAGGGCAGGGAGCAGGGCTGGTCCTTGCTCAGCCCCAGCCCCTGGGCTGCTGCTGGAGCATGAGCTGGCCCTGGGAGCCAAAGCCCGAGGCAGCAGTGGGGCTGGGGGTGCTCCTTCTGCATCAGCGCCCTGGGGTGATTCCCTTTCCACTTTACTGAGAAACCACTGCATCATTGCAGCAGAAGCTCTCAGAGGATTTTGGTCCTGCCAGGGCTTTTGGAAACAGGTTTTGGGAGTGTAGTGTAGTGGGTAAGAAAACGCTGCACCTTCAGGACAAAGAGACAAAATGACCAGTCCATTGAGACAGTAGCAGAAATACGTGTTTATGTGTGGATTACTGAGTGGTACATGAATATGGGTTAACACAACTCCTCGGTGCACACCAGCACCTCACATCTTCCCCACGTGAACATCTCCAGTGGAAATCCCACGGACAGCTCCAGCCTGAAAACCTGCAGCTCATGGCTGTGAGGAGCTGATGTGCCCTCCTGTCTGTGCTCCAGCCCTGGGCCACAGTGTGCAGCACCCTCCAGAGAGTGAGGGGAGCCTGGATGAGCTCTGGGACACCCTCACCACTGGGCTTGGGCAGTGCCCACGTCTGGCACTCAGGCACAAGCTGCGTGCTTCACCCTGTGGCTGATGAGGTGCAAGGCTCCAGGTTGCTGAAGTCACCTTAAAACACGCATCAAACCATCCCCTGGTGCTCCTCTGAGGGATGCAGCTGCAGGGAGCCCCTTCCCACCTGTGCCCATGGCAGGGAGTGGATGCCAGGGTGGCATGGAGGCAGTGCCTGGTGCCCCATGCCCTGGCTGCAGCGTGGGGTTGCCTTGCCCCACGGCAGAGATGGGGGTGCCTCGGGGAGCACGAGACCTGCCAGGGTGGCACACGGAGGCCACGGGCACAGGGTGATCCTGGAGGATGTGCCTGCTCAGCTGGGTGGCCAAGGTTTCCCTCAAGAGGGTCTGGGACCAGCAGAACCCCCACACATTTTCCTGTCGGTGATGAACCCCAAGCAGCACACCCAGAAACTCTGCTTTTTGGCTTTCTGACCCTCAGGGGAGCGAGATGCCCGTGTTACAAGTATATATGTGTGTGTATGTGTATATATGAATACAGGAGTACAGATGTACATGTTGTGTTTATATATGCTGCTATATATGCCAGATTTCACGAGAGCTAGAGTGATAAAATACATGAAGTATCTCCTACCAGGAATATGATGGTTGGCATCAGCCCAACAGTTAATACCTCTGGGCCTGGGGAAAGCTGGGCTATGGGGTTGGTACAGGTGTTGGCATCTTTCTGGGCAAGCCTGCTCGAGTAATTAGCCAAATGACCTTTCTACACAAACACAACTTCCCTAGAGCTCCAAAACACTTCAGTGGCCACATTTTCTGGCCACCCAGCAGATCACTAGCAGCCCCCAAAGTAGACTTCCAGCATTTTAGCAGAAATTGAGCCAAGGAGGGATTGCCAACAGAGCTGTTTCACCTCTCCTGAATCCAGCCTGCTCCTTTCTTTTCAGCACATACATACCTAGACACCTTCTCCCTGCCCCACTGCTGCAGCAGGGACATCCCAGGGCTTGATGGTGCATTTCATTGAACTGTGAAACGTGTGAGGGAATCTGGAAACAGCTGCCAAGGGATTAAGTGGAAATAGAAGATCCAGGTGTTTCTGCAGGGAAGCCTGTTTGGTTTTGCATTTCTGAGTCACGCTGTAAATGAGGAGCTTGAACATGCTGAACCCACTTGCATTGACACCAGTTGGTGGAGAGGTCGGGAGGGTGCAGGGGGCGTGTGCAGGCAGGGCTGGGGGAGCACCCTGCAGCAGAGCCAAGCCCCCATCCCACACCCAGCCCTGCTTTGCCTCCCCCTTGCTGCCCACCTGAACGGGGGCACCCACAGGGGGTCCTGTGCCCTTTTGTTGGGACCCTCCTGCTGCTCACGGGCTCCCCTGGGCTCTTTAGGGTCACCCAAGCCACCCCCTGCACTCACCCCAGGGGAATGCCTGCCAGCATCGCCCCTGCTGCTCCAGCACCGACTTTCCCAGGCCTTTTGCTCCAGAGCTTAAAAAAAAGAGTCACGTTTGTGACTGCCTCCATCCTTCCCCTGCCTCCCCACTCCTCCCTGGAAAACACAGCCCATTTCCTGCAGCTCGGGATGCGTTTTTCTTCATCGCCATAGTGACAACGTGTAAATATTTGGGGCTGGTGGGGTTTTGATCAGAGTTTGGAAGTCTGGAAGAGGCTGGCAAACGCGTTGTTTATGTTATTGCATTTTGCACGGAGTGCCATGACTTGCAGAGAGGACGAGCAGCCTGGGGAAGGGGCTGCTCTGGGATGCCTGTGGGCAGCAGGGCCATGGATGTTTGCTGGCACCTGTCAGCTCGAAGCTGAAGCAGCTCTTTGCAAGCCATGACCCTGGGGATGATGCAGGAAACAAAGCTGGGGATGAACCATCCAGGCCCTGTGGAGCAGGGGTTTGTCACATTTCCCTCAGGAATGAAATGAGACCCTGGGGGCTGCTTTTCATGCATACCCTTGCCCTGTCCTCAGGTGTGATTTATTCTGTTAGCAGAGGGCTGGCTTTGAACCATTAGAAAGCAGCTGGTCCTGTTTAGACACAGCCTATGGAAACACATGGCCTGGGCAGAGAGAGAGAGACGCAGGCTACACAAACCCAACAGGGTCTGCTCTCTGTTCTAGAAGCCAGGGGGTTATTTTTTTACATTTCCAATGATGGGTTTGGTTTTTGGGGTTTGGTTTGGATTTTTCAGATTGGATCTGAGCAGCTGGAATTTCAGCTTTCATTTCCCTCCCTGCTGTGCTGGACACCCCCGTGTTGGGTTTGGGCAGAAGTTTTGCTTTGGCGTGCCTGCTGCAGAGAGAAGGGGCTGAAACAAGAGAGCCCTGCACAGCCCCAGAGCTGCCATCCCAGCATCCCAGCAGGGCTGTGCACTGGATGTGCACAGGATGTGCCCCGGGATGTGCACAGGATGTGCCCCGGGAGCTCAGGGCACCGTGCAAAGGCTGGGAAGAGCGGGAGGTCTGGGGTGCTGAACAGTCCTGGTGTTTTGGACCAACAGGTCTCGTTTTATCCTCTTGTTTTTGTGCGTGGAGTGAAGCAAACAGGCTGAGTGGAGCTGTGGGGGAAGCGGTGCCAGGCTCGCTCTGCTCAGCCCTGGTGCCAGCCAGGGGCACCTGGCTGTGCCGTACAGCGGTCCCTGCCATCCTGGTCACAGTGCCATCCTCGCTGTACGTGTCACTGCTGTCCCTGCCGTGCCCTGTCCCTGTGCCTGACAGCTGCTCTCCAGGGAAAGCGATGCCCATCAGGCAGTGGGAGTGTCTCACCTCACCTTGGCCAGGGAGGGGAGCACCTGCAGGGTACCTGTGCAGTGTCAGCAGCACCCTGGGAAGTTGGGAGAGGGAGCGAGCCTGGGCCAAGCCAGCCGTGTGGGCAAGACTGGGAGAGAGATTGTCATGCTCTTGTGGGAGAGGAATTGTCACGTTCTAGGGAGTCCCAAGAAGGCAAAGTCAGCACCTCAGAGCCTCCAGCTAATGCCAAGCTCCGCGGCACCAGGGAGGTGTCAGCTCCTGGTCACTGCAGAGCTGGGGCTGCTCCCTCACCCTTCTGGGTCCCGACTCCAGGGAGTTTCTGCAAATTGGTCTTTTGTGGGAGAGGAAAAAAGATGGAAAAAGAGGAAACACCAGGACATCTGACAGTCCAAAGCATGGGGGGAGGTGTTTAGCAACACCCCTGGGTGGTATGAAGGAAGCAAAGCGGCTGCAGGAGAAGGGGCAGGTGTTCAGACAGAAGCAGGGGGGGTGCCTCACACAGCCTTGCTGAATTGCTACTTAATTAACTCGTGATAAAACTCCGACCGCACAAATCTGGGCAGGGAGTCTTTTTCCATCAGGGCAAAGATCCTCTTCTGGGCCATGTCAAAGCTGCTTGGTGATGGCTCCACCAGGTTCTTGATGGTCACAGCCTTGGTGAAGTGGTCGATGTTCACCTGCCATGAGAGTGTAGGAGGGATGGGACCCTGCCCTAGGAGGGCTGGGTGGTGTCTCCCCTTGCCTGCTCCATCCCACCAACAAGCACACAAAGGGTGAGGACAGGGACTGAAGCAGGTTCATTCCTCTGGAAGAATTATTGGTGGCAAAGCTGTCAGGGTGAGCTCTGTCCTGCTGCAAAGCTAACTTGGGGAGGAAGATCACTGTACGTTGTCATCCCTTGTGACTGATGTCACACCTCTGTGGGGAAGGGGGAACAGATGTGCTGGGGGTGTGAGCACAGGCTGACGTGCAAACTGGGGCTGCAGGGTTGTGAAGGATGGGAGTGCAGCACGTGGGGATGGGGCTGCCCCTTGCCAAGGACACAGCCCTCAGAGCCCCTGACCACGGCACAAGGTGCCCTGCAGCCATGGCTCTCCTTTGGGATGGAGCTGACAGGGAGCATCCTCATCCCTTCCCAGCGCCATCTCCTGCCCCATGGCTACTGACCTCTTTGGGTGCCTCAGTCTGGATGAACTCCTCGTAGATCTTTTTGGCCTTCTCTGCCATCTTCACAGGGGACTTGGTTTTCTTGTAGTCCTCGCAGGCCACCCAGAACTCGGCGTTCTCCTCGCTGAACTCGGAGCGCAGGAAGCTGCGGAAGCTGGCGAGCCCGTCTGGGGACAAGGGGAGGGGAGCCCTGGCTGAACAACAGCGGTGCAAGGGGTCCAGGTCCTCCCTGAGCACCCCAGGGATGTGGAAAGAGCCACAGGGGGATGTGAACTTACAGGGGTTTTGCAGGAGCTTCTCCAAGGAATCGCGCCACTGCAGAGCTTCCTCCGGAGATGGCCTGGGGAGAGGAAAGAAAGCCCAGGTGGTCCATGGTGACCCCACAGCCTCCGTCTGGGCTCCAGGTTTTTTAAAACGTCCTTTAAAAACGGGGAGGTACGGAGGGACAAGTTGCAGAGGCTTTCAGAGGGGAGGCAGTGGTCTGGGGATGGAATGGGGATGCAGTTCCATCACAGCACAGGGGAGAGGGACAGCAGAGTGCAGGGAGGGCGAGGATGGGCTGGGGAGGGCGAGGATGGGGCGGAGAGGGCGAGGATGGGCTGGGGAGGGCGCGAATTCCCCCGTGCTCGAGCAGAGCTGTGGCTGAGCTGCAAACGAGTCCCTTCTGCGGCCACAGGCTCCTCCGCAGCCCAGCACACACACGGGAGGCAGCGCAGGGGCTCTGCGAGCGGCTGGGAAGCATCTCTGCGTTTTCCCTGCGTTTTCCTGCCGGGGTGGGGAAGGATGCTCCCCGCTGGCCACAGGGCTCGGTCGCTGCGGGGTCAGTGCCCCCGGCTCCCACAGCCCGCTCGCCCCGTTCCCACGCCCTGCAGCCGGGGGTCACTGGCCTCGGCGCCCTTCCCACTGGAAACCTCCTGTGTTTTCCATCTGCACCGGTTTTCCTCTTTTTTTTTTCTTTAATATATTTTTCAATGCGATGTCTGCAGTGAGACTGAAGAGTTTTGCGGGTTTTTTTTTGTTGTTGTTTGTTTGTTGTTGGTTTTTTGGGGTTTTTTTTTGTGGCTTTCTTGTTGTTTTATTTAAGCCCCGAGGAGTTTGACCAAGCTGCCCTGGGCTCCCAGCTCCTTCCCTGCATCCCTGCCAGCGCTGGCTGGAGGGCAAGGGAAGCCCCTCTGCTTGGCACTGAGTGCTGGGCTGGCTGTGGACCTTCTCCACTCCCTGCAGGCAGTGCTGCGCTCTCTTTTGCTGCTGCAGGGGCCACACATGGGGGTGAAACCCCCTGGCTGAGCAGAGCATCCCTGGGAGCGAGGAGGGAGAGTGGGCAGGACAGCCTGTCCTGCTCCTGGGGGCCAGGAGCTCCCGTGGTGGGTCTGGGGGAATTACAGGTGCTGGTACCCAGCCATTCAGTGTGCCAGTCACACTACCCAGGTGGCTCCAGCAGGGAGAGGAGAGGGGCAGGAATGCCAGGCTTGCTCAGGTTGGGTACCAGCCCTCACTTGGCACCAAACCATCAGCAGTAGGCACCATGACAGGGGGTTCTTATCCTTCATTTTGCCGACCTTGAGCTGTGTTTGCACTTCTGTCAAGGATCAAAGCTCTCCCTGCCCCCATGTCCCTGTCAGGTGATTTCTCACCCCAGTGAGGAGGAGCATCACTGCAGCAACCTAACACAATCCAGATTTCCTGGAAACCACCAAATTCACTTTCCCATTATCTGAGCGTCCCTGGGATGATATTGACTGCGAGTGAGAGGCTGACAGGTGAGTGATGCCAGGGCTGCACGGTGATGCAGTGGAGGAGAAAACAAACAGCTCCTCCAGACAGTGGGGATGGAGATGCTCTCTGGCTTTCTGCAGGGGTGGCTAATGGAGACAAATGTGTCTCTCTCACAGAGGCATCTGGGGCACAGCAGCAATGGAGTGAGAACCACACAATCCACCAGGCTCTGCCAGCCCTCCTTGGCAGCTCTCACCAGGCAGCCCTGTGGCAGGCAGGCACCGTGCTGGCAAACGTCCCCCTGCATGTCACCCTTCACACCCTGGATTGGCAGGCAAAATAATTCATGTTTCATGTGCTTTAAATTATGTTGGTAAGCCAGTATTTTACACCAGCTGTATTATATACCAGCTCAGAGCTGGAGAGCAGTGGTCAAGCCAAAGGCCATGAGGTGAGGCGGGTGGGGGAGGGGTCCCATCACCACAAAACTACCCCAAGCCATCATGCCATGAGGTTGTGCACCCAGCTCAGGGACACGCTGCCACCCCACAGCCACACGGCTGCAAAGGCTGGCACCTCTGGGCTGAGGCAGGTGACTCAGAGCTAAGTCCAAGTGCCATATGCCTCTGGGAAAACCTTTATCGAATAACATGAAATCTCATCAAAAGCAAATTGAGTTTCCATGGGAAATCTAGTTTCCATAGAGCTGTATTGCCTGACATGCCTCATGCTGCCCTGACACAACTTCCTGAGCCTGCACCCAGCATGCCACGTAGAGCCTGCTGTGCCAGCCCACAGCAGGGCTTCAGCTCCTCTGCATCCCCAAAGGGCTTTACCCACCCCAGTGGCTGGGCACAGGTACCTCTGCAGCCCAGCCCAGTGCAGGACTCACTTCTGGGCCTTGGGTGGCTTCTCCTGCTTCTCGGGGTAGGGGATGATGAAGTCAATGGTGGAGTCAGGCTTCTGGAGCAGCGTGCCCAGCTTCGTCTTGATCTCCTTGGCCCTGCAGCAGGGGAGGGGCAGACACAAGTCAGGCAGGGGAGCAGGGCAGTGGGGCACTCAGTGCCTGCCCTGCACCCACGGTGTAATTAATCCCAGATGAGTAAATGGATGCTGGTGCTGTAGGGGCTGTGCCTGTGTTTCTGAACAGGCACTGAGCATTAGCGGCAGCCTTTGATCTGTATGTGCTCCCTCCATCCCAGCAGGACAATTGTATCGGTAGGGCTGTCAGGCTGCTCTGGGATTGAGCTGGGGATGTGTGTGAGCACTCAGTCTATAGAGATGAGCTTGGAGAAGGGCTGGTGAGGAGGTGAAGGAGCTGCCCTTGGAAAAGAGGTTGTGTGGGTGCTGTGCTGGGGGTACCCGCCCCACGCTGCCTTCCCACATTGTGCCACCAGCCCTGCACTGCTGACAGCACTCAGAGCCCTTATATAGATATGTAACGTGTTTATCAACAATATATAAGCCTTATGTCTGCAATGGGAAGGGTCCTGTAAACTGGCACCTCCTGGGTGCTGCCTCCTCTGGGCAGAGAGGGAAAAAAGGCTCCAGGAGCTGCAGACTGCCAAAGGCTCACTGCCACTTCCACTGCACCCAGGCCACGCTCCAGACCTGCATTTGGAGGGTGCAGAGAAAACAGGAGGTCCCGGGGCTTGGCAGCAGGCCCAGCTGTCTCCCAAAACATTCCCTTTTGTGCCATACAAGTAGTAATTAGATCTTGAGCATCTAAAACTGCTAAGGAGGCTCCCCCCCACTGCAGCTCAGGCATGGTAACGAGAGCAAGCTGAGTTTTGCAGGGAGGACTCAGGTGTGCTGCACGGGGCTGAAGAAATAAAGGGGTGAAAACAAACCTCTCAATCCCCATCTGGGCAGGGCTTTTCTCTGGCACAGCAGCATTTGGTGACTTCCAGGCCATCTTGCTGGCACAGGAGGTGAAGGAGAAGGGACAGATTGCTCCTCTCAGGCTGACTGGGCTGAGCTTTGGGCATGGCTGGCAAAGTCGGGCTGTAGCTCCCTGTCTTCAGGGCTCCCTGCAATTTTCCTCTCTGCTGTTTATTTTCACAAGCTCTCTGTGGATGATAGCTCCCTTGCTATGTCTGCTATTTAATTTCAATTCCTTTGATTTTTTCCCTCCTTGTAAAAGCCTCTCTCTGTGTTTTGGTTTCCACCCACCAGTCCCCACGGGTGACATTTGGAGACCTGGCACAGGGGTGTCTGCTCTGCTCTTCTCCTTGCCAGCCGCCTCCACTTCTGCTGCACAAACCTGCCCTTGAGCAGCCCCCCCTGCATGGAGGGGGGCAGTAGGAGCAGGCAGAGAGAGCAGCCCAGCCTGGGGCTGCAGGGACCCCCCAGAAACACAGCTGTTGTCATGGACAAGGTCAGCAGCTACAGGGACAGCTTCCATTGCTTCTGGGAAAACCTGAACCTTGGAAAGCTCAGGAAAAGAGGGACAAGGTCACCATGCTCCCACACTGAGGTGTCTGGGACAGGCATGCTGCCCTTCATCCTGCTGCAAGTGAATAAATAGAATGCAGACGAGTGCTCTTGATGTCCTGGGGCTGGCTCTCAGTTGCCCCTTGGCTTCCTGCTGGCCAGCACTGCTGTACTGGGACTGCCTGCCATGGCCCTGACCCATGGGGATGGCACAGGTGAAGGGGGCAGGGAGCAGGGGAAGGGGGCAGGGGAAGGGGGCAGCTCCCTTGGCACCAAGGCAGTAGATGGCTGCAGAGGGTGCTGCAGGAAAGCTGAGAGGACAGGCTGGCCTCTCCCTTGGCTCTGCTTTCCCACACATGTGGCCACAGGTTCCTGCAGGCGGGGGACACATGGGCTCACATCTCTCGGCAGGGGCTGAGCAGAAATGTTAGGTGCCACCTTGTCCCTCTCGGGAGGGAGGAGTGGGGATGGCACCCCAGTCAAGCCCTGCCAGTGCCAGGTGCTGTGCAGCAGGGACAGTCCCTTCCAAGCCACTGGACCCTGTGTCACATCAGGGGAGTTCACCCAAGGGGGTAAGGTCTGGGGCTGTCCCACTCTGGAGCAAGGACTGTGGATCCCAGGAGTTCCTGAGCAGGCAGACAGGCAGGATGACAGGAGCTGTGCTGGCAGCAGGGACACCAAGAGCCAAATGTAGCCCATGATGGCCCAAGGAGCTGGGAAGAGAGAACAGGGACTCTGCTGCTGTCAGAGCAGCACCTGGGGACCCCTGCCCTGGTGTGGATGAGCCCAGCGCTCTCACAAAGTCTGGATGCAATTGATGGTGGCTTCACACAAGTGCTCAGACCTGGCTCAAAACCTTGCTCTCTGATTCCCATCCTCTGGCAGTGACTTATGGCCAAGTCAGGCTCAAAAGGCACTGAGGCCCTCAGCAGTTCCATCCTGCTCCATCCCATGGGGTGCCAAGGGATCCCCAGAAGCTGCCCACCCTGCTGGAACCCTGCAGGTGTGGGGACAGCAGCAAGAGCCTCCCCCCTGCACCAGGGCAACTCCCTGGCAGTGACAGGGGCTTCATGACATCTGTAGAGACAGCAGAGATAAGGAAAGTCTGTTAAAAGGAATCGAGGAAGACAGGAGTGGGCTGAAAGCCTGCAGGCTGAGGGAGGGAAGGGCTATTTAAAGACACCATCCTGGCGTCCTCCAGCAGATGGATTACAAGCTTTCAAGCAAGGCTTCAGGGAAGGCTAAACAGCAGGGGAAAAAAGGCAGCTATAAACAAAAAAGGCATCTTTTTAAAAAAAAAACCCAGCTGTGACCGAGTGAGAAAAAGCAAGAGGACTGTAAATGGTGGAAGGTTAACTGTGAGACCATGTGGGAGCAAGCCAAGAAAAAGTCTGAGAAATAACTTCCAAGAAGCATTAATAGAAAATATGGGCTCTGTCAAATGTATCGAGAGCAAGAAGGGCTGCTGGGGAGGGCCAGGAGAGACTCCAGCTTTAAAAACAAAACAAAAATAGAAGCTCAAAGGAGTTTAAAGCCATAGCCGAAAGCTAAAGGTGATGCTGTGCCTGAGGGCAGGGAGGTGCCAGAGGAAATGCCCGTTCATGTGCAGAAGCCTCCAGAGGGGACTCGAGGAGCCATAAAGCTTCGAGAGTGATGCTGTATGGACATGTCAGTGGTGTCAGACCCGTGCTGGACACATGGACAAATATGGGCTATTGGAGAGGAGTCAAGGCTCCTCTGGCCCTAGGAAGGAATTCCTTCCAACCTCTCATCCCTCTCTGAGGAGGCAGCAGACACGTGCTGTGGGGACAGCCGGGGGCAGCAGCCCCTGGGGCCAGCAGGGCACCCCGGGTGGGCTGTGCAGGGGAAGGTGCATGGATAGCAGGGTGGGGAAGGCAGCACACACCTATGGGGATGGGGAACGCTGGGATGCTGGGACCGTGCTGTTCAGCACTGGGAGAAGGGGTCAGGGGCCGAGCATAGATCCTGCAGGGTACAGCACTGGGGATGAGCTGTGCAGAGCTGCACAGCTCTGTGACATCAGCAGAAAAGCATCTGGGAAGCCTCAGAGAGCAGCACAAGGTGATGCACAGGGGGAAATGCAGCCCTGACTCTGCACTTCAGTGTGAGTGAAGCCTTCGAGAGTGAGGATTTGAGGGCACAGCAGATGGAAACATCAGCACAGCAGCAGTGGGAGAAAATCTTCATTAAGAAAATTTACTGTTAAAAAGTGTCAGAAGAGTGACAACAAGGGAGATAACAGAGCAGAAACATGTGGATCACCTACAATTGGAAGAGTGCTCTTGGCTGCCCATGGCACAGCAGACTGCAGAGGAGCAGGCAAGGTCAGCATGGATTCATGAGGATGGCTCAAAGACAAGTTTCCAACAACAAAACCATCACAGGCCAGTGCTCCTGTTTGTGCCTGTGATGAGAATTTGCCTTTTGGGCAAACAGCATCAGCCCCCAGCAGCACTATTGCAGCTGGAAATTCTTTGGAGCTCCCCTCAGGATAGTGAATTCCCACTGTCACTCTCATTCAAAAACCAGCACCAAGGCATTTGCAGGTGTGAGGGAGCCCCCACTGAGCGGTTCACTTGAGTCTTTCCTGAGTGCTCTGCTGCTGCGGTGAGGTCTCAGGTGCTTTGCACCTCTGCTTCTCACTGGACCCCTCCAAAGCCCTGGGAGCAGAGGACAGGACAGATTCCGCGCAGCATGGAAATGGCCAGGGGCTGCAGCCTGCCTGGGCTCCCGAGGGGCTGAGAGGAGCTTCTGCCACCATCAGGTGCAGGTTTTGGGGTGAGCACCAGGGTAGGTAGGGATGAAGGTGAGGATGGGTGCCACAAGGTGGGCAGAGCTGGTGCTCTGTTCAGGGCTGAGCCTCAGAGAAGGGCCAGGTCTGGCTATTCCATGTGTGAGCAACACCCGGGCAGTTCGAAGAGGATCGTGAGGCACTTTGGGGACAGGGCTGTTTTCACCACAGAAAAGCAAAACCTCTGTCCTGATTCTTTCCTCCTCTCCTCCTCTGTGTTTTGAGGAAATGAAGGTCTGAGGATGAAGCACTCCTCACCACTCCAGAGTGCTGCAGGGCTGGGTTTGGAGCAGCCCAAACTCAGCCAGCAGCAGGGTGAGTTTGAGCCCCAGGGCAGAGTGGGGAGTTTGGGAATCAGCATTCACCCCACCAAGGATCTCACAGCACCCACTGAGCCAGCCCCAGCGAGCTTCCCTTCGCTCCCCGCTCAGAGATGCAAAGTCCCAGCGCCCACAGAGATGCCCATGAGGGGATGTGCTGCAGGAAGAGCCCCTGTGTCCCCCTGTGTCCCCCTGTGCCCCCGGCAGAGCCCTGCGGGGAGGCAGCCCCGGTATCCCGCACATCCCGCACATCGCGGCCGCTCTCACCTCTCCAGGCACGTGTGGGGCAGCGCCGCTAATCCCTTGCACATCTTGGCAGGCTGTGGTTTCCCCGGCCGTGAGAAGAGTGTGAGTGACGGCTGGAGCGGGCAGCGAGGCTCTGTCTGCAGCCCAGCCGCCTCCCCCGTTCCTATATAGCGCCGGAGCTGGAGCCCCGCCAGCCCCGTGTCCAACGCCGGCCGCAGCTGGCCCCAGCCCCGGCGGCTTCTGCAGCTTGTTTTCCTCTCTCTAAGCTCACACGGGGGGAAGAAAAATGTGGATTTTCTGGGGCGAGGTCAGGTAATGAATTTGGAAGGTCCCGTTGGAAGTCCAAGCTGATGTTTAGGGGGCTTCAGGAAGCCCACAGCATTTCTCTTAATGATGCATCAGGCCCCAGGTCAGTGTTTAGAAGAGCCAGGTAGAAATGCTTCATTCAAGTGAGCTTTTTCTAGTGCAAAGCAGAACTTTCAGAAAAATAAAAGTGCTTATGAGAAGGCTAGCTGTTGATTTCAAGGCTGTGGCTAATATCAAAATACCCACCCGTTCAACAGCGATGCTGGCTAACAGAGATTTTGTTTCAGACCTTGGCTCCTGGGTGACCATGAAAATGTTAATCTCTGCTTTGTTTAACACTGGGAGCTGGGAACAGGGACTGCTCCACACCGAGGTGCACTAACAACCATCATTTCCCTGGGTAAAACCCAGGGTTCCATTTAAGCTCAGCCCTTGCTCCTCTTTCCCTTGAGCTGTGTCAGAGCTGTGCCTGCCTGGCTCTGGCTCCTGCCTGGATTTGGGGCCTGCTGTGGGATTATGCAGCAAGACACTGTCTGTGATCAGGCATCTGAGTGCAGTAAGTGAAAGCTGGAAGTCTGCTGGAAACTCTGGAAACTGTGCCTCCCTGGAGAGCTTGGGCTGGCTTTGTACTGCTTTGTAGTGGAAACTGAATGAAAAAAAAGCACAGCTGGCAATTTCAGAAGATGAGATGCTCAGATAACAATGGCTTGGGCTGATCAGAGCCCCCAGGATGCACTCAGAGCTGGGTCTGGTGGGCTGCCCTTCCCTCTGGTGGCATGGAGGTGCCCACCAGCCTCCCTCGTGTCTCACAGAGTGGGGAAAGGAGGAGCAGCAGCCACAGAGGACGGAGGTCCTTTACTCTCCCTGTCTGTTCTCATTGTGCCCTGTTCCCAGAGGACTCAGGAGGAGCCTAGAGGTGCCTCACCCCAATCAGGGGTAGCACACTGGCCCCATCTCCCAGCTGGGATGCAGCCCCTGCTCTCTGAAGGAGCATAGCCTTGCAAACTGCACCTTTGCTGGGCTGTGCCAGTGTCCTTGGGGCCAGAGGGTTCATCAGGGCCACGCATTTGCTAGCAGGGATGTCACTAGGATGTCACTGAGTGCCAGCTCAGAGGCTGCTTTGAAGAGCTCCTGTGAAGTGTGGTGCTGTTGGCAGGAGGCTTTGCCCGCTGCTCAGGCAGCCCCTGGCTCGGAGGGAAGGCGGTGGCAGCAGGGGCTGGGCAAGAGGGGCTGGTGGTGGTCACAGCTCGGGGCTGGGAGGGACAGCGGGGCCGTGGCACCTCCTGGGGAACCCCTCTGCTGATTCCTTGGGAATGCAGCTATCCTTTCATCATGGAGCTTCTGTAACAAAGGCAGTTGGAATCCCAGAAGAACGAGGGTCTGTGGGACCAGGTGGTTTGTGTGATGCTGCCCAGCCCACTCTGAGCACCCTGCCCTGCTCTCCCCCAGCTGCAGCCAGGGCTGTGTGCCCTTGGAGCAGAGCAGAGAGCCCCTCCAGGCGTGCCAAGGACACGGCTCCATTCCTGCACAGCTCCTGCTGCTCTGGAGCTGTGCCCAGTGGGACCTCCTGGAGGATCTGGATCTGCTCCCTGCAGACTTCCATCTGCTTCACCTCTTCCAGCCCGAGGTAAGCAAATCCCCTCTGCCGTGATTCAGTGACCAATGGTCTAAAATCTCTTCCAAAGCTCGGGGGTGTGGGGTTGAGGAGTGCACAGAGCAAACCGGGGAACTGAGGTCCAAAGTGTGTGAGGAAACTCCGTGTGGGAGGGTGATAAGGATGCTGTACTGTGTGCTGGGATTGCAGCTGTGCATTTTAACACAGATTTATCTGAAACGCTAAAAAAGAAACTGTTACCACAAAAAAGGTTACACAGAAATAGCCTGTGCTTTCCACAGACCTTTGTCTAGCAAGAAATGTTTGTTTTGTGTGTTTCAAGGCTTTGGAGTGCTAAGGAAATATTTCCAATAAGAAACTACACAGACCTTCCTTGTCTTCCCACGACAGCTTAATTTCTTTAAGAGCCCTTCTGGGAGAGCTTTTTGGAGATCTGAGTGCACTCTGAGGAGCAGATTGTCTTGTGTACACAATGGCTGGTTTCCTCCACAAGGGCTCCAAGGCTTGTGCCTTGCAGCTGCCCCCTCAAAAGCCACGTGGAATCTCCCATTACACCCGATTTATCCTGGGCCCTGTTATTTCCAGACCTTATTATCCTTTCTAGCAACATGCCTTTTATAGAAGGCAGTCTAGCTGCTCTGCAGTTTCCTGGTTCCCACTGGAACTTTTTAAGAACTAGCATCATATTTAACAATGTTGACCTTCTGGTAAAGGGATCACTGCAATTCTCACCCAGGAGAGTATTTGGCCATTCATCTGAGTGCTCCTTCTGGCAGACTTTTAACCACGTGTTCTAAAAATGGGGTTAAAAATATTTTTTTTCCCCTGCATGCCTTTGGGACAGTCGTATAAATGTGGGTCCCCTAAGGAATGATGGTAGTGTGAGCTCCCTAACAGCAAAGGGCAATGCAAGGAACTCACTGAGGCTTTCTGTGATGGCTCATTCCTTCCTATAGAGCCTGATCACATCCTGTCCCTGAGCATCCCTGGAGAACTCTCTGCTTCTCACATAGTTATAATTCATGTTTATGCCTTTAGGATGCTTTCCTCACATCTTCTGTGGCTTACCTTTCACCTGTAACTTTCCAGAGCCTGAATTATTATTTTTTTAATTATCTCAATTTTCACTTATTTTAAGGTCTTACCACTTCAGATGTTCATTTCCACTCCCTTGTACAAGCACATGCCCTTTAAAAAAAAATTCCGAGTGTTAGTGCACCATGGCTGTATAACCCAGTGCTGCAGGTGACCAGCTTTTGTGCTCCTCATACTTGTGTGATGCTGACCAGCCTGCCCTAATTCCCTTTGTGCATTAATACCATTCTGAAGGTGTTGTTTGTCTTATCAGTAGCTGTGGCTCTGTGGCCCCTTTGAACTGAGCCCCACACATGGCTGAGGAGCTGTCTAGGTGCAAGCCTTACATCATCTCCTTGCCTCCACCACCCTCCTGAGGCCCAACCCAGCGACGGAAATGTTCATGTAGAAGGAGGAGATGAGATCTAGGCTCCCTCCATTTGCCACATCCAAGTCACTGACCCAGGAGCCATGGGTGAGGTCAGAGAAAATCCTGGAAAGCAGCGTTCCCCGGAGCACTGGGACTCTGGCCAGCAGAGAATTTGGGAGTCACGTATGTTCTGCATCCCATCTGAAGAGCCACCGAGTTCCTCGACCCTGAGCACGAGGCCTGAGAACAGCAGGGGCCGTGCCTGGGACACCGCACTGCTCCCTGTGCCTGCTCCACGCCCCCAGGAGGAACCCGCTCCCTTCTGGCACCTGGAGCAAGTCAAGTCCCCTCCGAGGTGTGCACAGGGCAGGCCTCAACCTTTGCACACGCAGAGCACTCCTGGGAACATGGGGCTGGGCTCAGGCTCACTTGTGCCTGAAGGAAAGCAGAGGGACAGGCGTTTGCCAGTCCATGCAAGTATTGCACAGTGTTTTTGTGACTGCAGGTACCGAGTGGCAGCCCAGGTGTGAACAGCAGCGTCCCTAGAGCAGTTCCTCTGCATCTTGAGTAGATGAGGAGTGTCTGCAGCAGGCAGAGCCGCCACTCCTGGAGCCTCAGCAGCTGCTGCTGAGCATCCAGGAGCTCTGCTATCCAAGCAGCACTAGTGCCACCGTGTGCTCGGTGAAGTGCAGCCTCCACACAGGCAGCTGTGCCTCGTCTCTGCTCTCCGGTGCCCGTCACCTGCCTGTGAGCATTCCCTGAAGTGACACCATCTGAGCACACGAGGCTGAGCCTGGGTTGCTGGTGTGTGGGTGACAGACATTATTTCAACACAAAGCCGGCACAACCAGATCAGTCACAGGTTTTATTCAAGGCCTGGATTACATCATCTTTACCCATATTTGTGTCACGGATCCAGGCAGTACATTGTTTATCCTCACCCAACAGCACCTGCGTTTTTGATCCCCCTGACAGAATCAGCCACTGTGCAGAGAAGTGGATGTGCAAAGAACCTCTGTCTCTACACTAGCCATGCCAGCACCCCACACCTGTCCCGTGTGTGTGTTCATCCTCAGCCCCGAGAGCACCGAACGGTGACCCAAGCTCCTGCCTGCCATCCCCTCTGCTCTACGTGCCCTGCTGTGGCACTGCCTTTCCTAGCTCATGGATGGCCCTGTTCTCCAGCACCTTCACCTTCCCCTCGCCTGGCTGCAGCACACAGCCCACCATAGCCCTGGCCACCGTTTCCACAGGCACTGAATAAGCAGTGGGGAACAGCCGAGCCACCATGCCCAGGAACTGCTGGACTATCCACTCCATGGGCCGGGACTCCTGGCGCTTGCACAGCAGCACCCTGCAGAGACAGGAGGGGAGGTGGGTCAGCCTCAAACAACCCTGGCTGAAGGCTAGAGACTGAGCTCTCCAGCTGCACCAGGGCCCAGACAAGCTCCCTGAATCGACATGGGCTTTGGGGCTTTGGCAGGGTCATGGAACATGACGGAGCTGACACTAAACTCCTTTCCCCACTGTGCTGCCAAAAGCAAAAAATTCCAGTTCTCCTAGGTAGCAAGAGCACAATACAGCTGAAAGGACACAGGTGAGTGTTTCCCCTGCCTAAGGTCAAGGTCTATCTGGAGATAAGCTCTGACTTATGTGCCTCAACCTGTGCTTTCAGCCCAGGTGTGCATGTGCATGGCACATGGCACTAGCATTGGGATGGGCAACAGGAAACGGCAGAGCTTGCTCCCTGAAGCACTGGGAAGCATTCCTCATCCATGAGCTGCATTTGCAGCTGCTGCCATTCTCTACTTCCTTCCCCATCCCTGCACTTATATATCCTTTCTCTTCCTCCATCTCCCAGTGAAGCATCTCCCTGCTACCCTGGCAACCCTCCACCCTGTGCCCTCCCTCCTCTACCACTACTCACGCTGGCCGGAGAATGGTACAGCGATCAAAACCAACAGCCTGGACCAGGTTTTCCACTTCTCCCTGTCAGAGCAGCCAGGCAGGATGAAAGGAGACAAGGATGACTGCAAGCACCATTCCTGCCACCTCATGAATGGGCAGGACAGAGCTGCTGGGCCAAGGGCAGGAGGATGGCACTAATGCCAATGCGAGGCTGGAGCAGGCCAGGCTGAGAGCAGCTCTCTAGGCCAGGCAGGGATCAGCTCTCTAGGCCAGGCTGAGAGCAGCTCTCTAGGCCAGGCAGGGATCAGCTCTCTAGGCCAGGCTGAGAGCAGCTCTCCAGGCCAGGCAGGGATCAGCTCTCCAGGCCAGGCTGAGAGCAGCTCTCCAGGCCAGGCTGAGAGCAGCTCTCCAGGCCAGGCAGTGGGGCAGGGCCCCTGGTGGACACGAGTGCAGGTCAGCAGCGCACCCTTGCAACCATCAGCTAAACTGCAGCAGGCTGCTCTGGAGAGCATCTGGACTCAGCATCCAGCCTGGGGATGGATCCAGCCGGCACAAGACGCCAGCAGGCAGCTGAGTCCAGCAGGTGGTGGGAGCTGCAGCACACAACATATGGAGAACAAAGCTTTTGCGATGGGCGTGGTGCTCCCTGGGGAGCCTTTCCATCACGGGATTGTCCATGTCTCAACTGAACACAGCCCTGAGCCTCCCACACAGCTGTGAAGCCATCCCAGCTTAAGGCTGGGGAGCTGTTCCTGGGCTAGAGACCACAGCAGATGTGTCTGCAGTTTGAGGAGGGAGACAGAGGCTGCATGCAGGTGTTGTACTGCTCTATAAGAAGCCAGTTGCACAGCTGTCCAGCCAGCCCCTTCCCCTGTCCCGCAGCAGCAGGAGGACCCCCCAGAGCCATTTGCATCTCAAGACCTCAGCTCCTGCTTCCTTCCTGAGCATCCCAGCATCCTGTGACTCCTGCACGAGCATCAGAAGCCCACCCTAGCTGCCCCCTCACCTTCACACGGAGGTAGAGGAAGTGGCTCTGCGCGTTTGCCCCCCGGGAGGACTGCAGGACAAAGTGTTTGCAGCCCCCTGCCCGCGCCAGCTCTGCTGCCTGCGCCACATAATCCCGGTCCACACGGACAAAGCCGTCCTGTGGGGAGAAGAGCAGGGTCAGTGGGGCAGGGAGCCGGCAGCCAGGGGAGGGGAGAAGCGGGACCGCCGGGGTCAGGGGTGTCCCCACTCACGGCGCCAGCCCTGGCCCTGGTGGTGCCCAGGCAGCAGAAGCCCACGTCGTGTCCCTGGAAGGCGGCGGCGTGCTCGCCCAGCCGCTCGAAGTCCACCACGGCCTGCTCCTGCGGGGAGGCCGAGGGTCAGAGCCACCGCCCTGTCCCCGCACCACGGCCAGCCCTGTCCCTTGTCCCCGCACCACGGCCAGCCCTGTCCCTTGTCCCCGCACCACGGCCAGCCCTGTCCGTTGTCTCTGCAGCACGGCCAGCCCTGTCCCCTGTCCCCGGCCCGCACACCACGGCCAGCCCTGTCCCCGGTCCCTGGCCCGCACAGCCCTGTCTCCTGTCCTCGGTCCCCACACACCACGGCCGGCCCTGTCCCCGATCCCCGGTCCCCACACACCACGGCCAGCCCTGTCCCCCGTCCCCGGTCCCCATACACCACGGCCAGCCCTGTCCCCGGTCTCCATACACCCCGGCCGGCCCTGTCCCCTGTCCCTGGTCCCCACACACCACGGCCTCCCCTGTCCCCGGTCCCCACACACCACGGCCGTCTCCGCCTCGCCCAGGCTCAGCCGGCGCCGCCCGATCAGCGTGACCCGGCCGAAGGCGCGCTGGGCCAGCAGCTCCCGCAGCAGAGCCCGGCCCGTCTCCCCCGAGCCGCCCAGCACGAAGCAGCTCCGGCCGCTGCCGCCCGCCGCCATGCCGAGAGCAGCGGGCGGGGCCGGGGCGGGGCCGGGAACTGTGACAGGGCAGGGACGGAGACCGGAGAGGGACAGGGACGGGACAGTGACAGGGATAGAGGAGGCCCGGGCGGGAGCGGCTGCGCCCCCGCGCTGCGGCTCCGCGGATGGAGCGCTCCTTGCCCGGGGAGCCGCGGACGGACGCGACACGGGACAGGTCCTAAGGCCGGGACGGCGACAGCCCCGGGATCCCCGGCTCAGCCCAGGGACCCCGCTCAGCCCCAGGGATCCCGCTCAGATCCCGCTCAGACCCAGCGACCCCCGGCTCAGACCCAAGGACCCCGCTCAGACCCCGCTCAACCCAGGGACCCCCAGCTCAGCCCAGAGACCCTGGTCAGACCCCGCTCAGCCCAGGGACCCCCGCAGACGGTGCCCCCTGTCCCGTCCCCACCGGCTGCTCCTGCACTAGCAGAGGATCGCCCCCCGAGGATACATCCCTGTGCCCGGCCCGCTCAGGCGGAGATGTGAGCGGGAGGGATGCTCAGAGGGGTCTGTGACCTGTCCGGAGCTCCTCTCCAAACCTCGCCGGGTTCAGTGTGTGCTGTCCGGCAGCTGTGTCCCCTGGGCAGGAAGGGGTCACTTCCAGCGTGAAGCAGTCCCTGGTGCCTGAAGAGCAGGGAGATGAATCCCACTTCCTTGGGAACTCCGGCTGAGCAGGTCCCGGGGTGTTCAGGCAAGCACAGACCCCCTGCTCCGGGCACAGCCTGTGCGTTGTCCCTCTGACGGGGATGCCAATTATCACCAGGGTGGTCCAGGTCCCAGGAGGACACGGCTCTGGAGCAGGCATGCGGGCACCCCGCGGCTCTGCGCAGCCAGTCCCGTGGGCAGCATCAAGGGGCCCCGCGGCGCCGCGATCCCGTTTGTCCTGATTCCTGGGGAGGGAGGTGCGGAGGCCTGTGAATGGCTGCTGTCGGGATCAGCCAGGTGGTTTTCCAGCCCGGTGTGTCGGTCAAGCGTGCTCCTTGGCCGAGGGCTGAGGATGAATCCCAGGTGCACGTGCCGTTTGCGAGGCAGGACGCGCGTCATGACTGTCCCCGGGTTAATGGCTGGCATCCCGCTCCACCTGCCACTGTGCCGCCGGCACCCACGGCCGCGCAGCCCAGCGGGCTCTGCTCCGCAGCCACAGGAAAACCCAGGTGGGTAAACGAGGGGCAGGCTGGGGAGTACCAGGGCTCGGGGGTACTGGGACGGGTGCTTGAGACTGGCAGGGGAGCAGCACAGTGCGACACAACGTATATGGGGTTCATGGGGTGTGTTATAGGGCGTGATGTGCTCTAGAGTTTCATGGAGATGCCACCGGGGAGGGTGGGATCTGGACGCAGGGAGGGGGGGCATGTTCCCACAGCTCACGGTCTGCTTCTCCCCACGGCAGGGCTCGGGGGGCCAGCCGGGTGCCGGGGTGCCCCGCTCGCCCGGTGGCATGGAGACATGGTCCCGGCGCGGCGCTGCCTTCGACTGCGTGCCGCAGCCGGCAGCCTGCTGCCCTGACTGGATGGCGGAGCTCCCCGATGCCCTTCCCCTCTCCCGCCTCTCCATCCCCGGCACCCACGACTCCCTCAGCCTGTTCGGCGGCCGGCGCCTGCGGTGCCAGAGCTGGGGCCTGGAGGCGCAGCTGGCGGCCGGCATTCGCTTCCTGGACGTGCGCTGTAAGCTGTGGCGGGGCGAGCTCCGCATCTACCACCTGTGCACCTTCCAGCGGGCAAACCTGCGCGGCGTCCTGCGCCGCACCCTGCACTTCCTCCGCGCCCACCCCGGCGAGGCCGTGCTGATGCGCATCAAGGAGGAGCTGCCCATCTTCTCCCGGCCCGGCTTCGCTGCCCAGCTGCACCGCTGCCTGCTGGAAGAGGGCCAGGGTTGCGTGTGGTGCCGGGAGGAGGTGCCCACGCTGGGCCAGGTGCGCGGGAAGATCGTGGTGCTGGAGGCGCTGGCGCGGGAGGTGCTGGGCATCCCCTACGAGGAGCTGAGCATCAGCGACGCCTGGAACGTGCTGTCGCTGGAGCGCAAGTGGACCCGGGTGCGGCGGCATCTGGAGAAGGCGGCCGGCGGAGACCCCAGCACCATGTTCCTCACCTTCTGCTCCGGCAATGGGCTCTTCACGTGCCCCGAGCAGGTGGCCCGCTTTGTGAACCCCCGCTGCCAACAGCACCTGCGGCGCCGGGCCGGGCAGCCCGTGCGCTGGGGGGTGATCATCATGGACTTCCCTGGCGCCGGCCTCCTCCGCCTCATCGTGGCGAGCAATGGACACGGCACAGCGGCCCCCGGCACCGCCAGGGTCCAGTCCCGACAGCTCCGAGGCAGAGGGGACAGACCGCGGCGCGGCCAGCACAGCTCTGCGCGCTGGCCCTCGGCAAGGACATTGCTCCCGGCCCCGCGCCTCCGCCGAGCGACCTCAGTACCTGGCGGGCAAAAGCGGCTTCCTAGGGCTTGCAGAGCATCGGGGAGCCTTGGTGTGACAGCGGTGTGACAGCGGTGTGACAGCCAGCCGCAGAGGCAGCGGAGGAGCCGGGCAGCCCTGCCCTGAGGAGCCAGGTACGGTGCCGGTGCGGGGCTGCGCCGCCCGAGTCCCGCAGGGCAGCGGGGTGGGCGGGGGTAGAACGTCCTGCCTCACCTCCTGTCCGGCCAGTGAGGCCTCCCACGATGCCTCTCTGCAAAATAGTCCTTCTATTTAAGGGTAAATAAAAATAAAAAGAAGCTAGGAAAGCGCTGCCTATGTTGCCTTGCCATTTCCTGTCAGGAAGGTGAAGAAAAGACATTTTGCTTTCAGATGTGAAGGAGCCTGTACCCCTCTGCCCGTGGATGAAGCACAGTTAAATTGTTGTCTGTGACCCTTTTGCTCTTAAAGCAAGAGGTCACAGGATTAAGAATTAATTTAAAAAGGTGACAACAAGTGGTTAGGAACATACCTCCCCGCATTATTTTAGCTTCTGTTTCTCCCTTGCAGGGCCTTGCCCCAGAAGTCAGGACTCAGGCAGAGCCAGCTTCAGCAAGGGCCACCCACCCTGTGCATGGAGAGCTGGATGGCCACAGAGGCAGCGATTCAGACAGGGCTGCCCTGTCCCTGGGGTCACACACCGAGGGATGCTGCTCTGGGCAGAGCCCAGCAGTTTGCAACAGCTGGGGCAGTGCAGACAGGGCAGTTTGTAGATCCACAAAAGCAAGGTGGTTGAGGCATAAAAAAGACTTTAAAACATGTTGTGTCAGAGTCTGCCCTACCAGCAGATAATAAATCACTGCTCTAAATAGACAACACAATAACTCCTCGGAGCAGAAAGGTAACCATGATCCCAGGGGAGAAAGCATCACCCCGGAGGGTTCCTGCTGCATCACTGGCAGCAGCTGAAGCAGGGAGGTGAGAGAGAGAGGAACTTTTAGAAGAAGAAAGCTCAGCCCTGGCTTGCCAGAAGGTAATGTCCTCAAAGTTGCTTCTGTCTCAGGTGAATCACATCTGGGCACAGTGCCTGCTGGATCTCCACAGGATTTCCTGGCCAGAGGAGAGGATGTGTTTTGCTCTGCAGGGGCTAGCCCTGGCTGGAGACACAGCTCCTGGTGCTGGGCCGTTCATCTGCTGCCCTGGGAGGGGAGCAGGCAATAGCACACAGCGGGTGACAGAGATGACAGGCAGAGGAATCTGACTCTGCGTTTGCCATGTGAGACAGGAGAAGGTTGAAATCTCTGCATTAAACCAGGCATGCGACAAAAGCACTGGTGGTGGCCAGGGTGAGGGTGGCCTGGTCCATTGGCCTCCAGTGCCTCTTGTGCCTGGGCTGCCCCCACACCAGGCCAGTGTGGCTGGTACCCTGTCCTGCCAGGAGGATGGGTTCTGCTGGTGGCTTGCCTCAGCATTCCAGGGATGCACAGTGCCATGGAGAGCCAGCAGGGCACCAGCAGAGCAATCACAGTTCTAGGAGCTGTAGGCTGGGTGGTTTGGCTGTCACTTAGGGCTGTCCCTGGACGTGGCACATCCCTGCAGCTGCACCCCAGCACCCCGTGCCCACCCTGTGCCCAGCTGGCTGGCAGGGCGGAGGAGCCGCCTGGGATTCCCCGGGTGGGCCGAGTCACTTGTTTACGCCCTGTCACTCAAGCAGTGAGATAATGTCAGTGGTATCTGTGCCCCAGGCATCCTGTTTGGCAAACCCTCATCTGTGCCCTGCACATGTGGCTGCTGCCAGGTGCCAGGGAGGCGGCAGGCAGCACGGGCACGGGTACCCGTGTGGCAGTGATGCCCAATGAAAAGGCTCTCCATCACCAGCTTCGCAGTGAGAGGCAGGAGGCAGAGAGCTGTCCTACAGCTGAAAACAAAGAAACATCTCTGAGAGGGTCTGTACAGGGTGGGCAGGAGTGATTTGCCCAAAACCACCCCTTTATTCCACAGCCAGGGCTGTCCCAGTGCCTCACGGGCCCTGTGGGTGAGGGGTACCTGCCCCTGGACTTCTAGTCCTGGCTAATCCTCGCCATTATCTCAGTCCCTCCAAGCCAGGATATCACTCTTAATGCATCTCCCGATGTCCAAACGCTTTCAATTTGTGAGAAATATTTTATCAGGCGCTGCCTGAGGCGGGGCAGCAGCTGATAAAGAGGGTGGAGGCGGCTCCGGCTGCTGGAGCTGTGCGCTGGCAGCTTTGCCCAAGGGCACCCTGCAGCTCAGGGACACCCTGTGGGTCAAGCGCTTCCTGGGGACCTGTGGTGGAAGGGAATCGCCTGCCCGCGCTCAGGAAATGCCTCTAAAGTTTCAGGGAGAGCCGCCCGTGTCCCCAGGGAGGAATGGGTTCGGGTTAGGGTTAACGTTAGGGTAGGGTAAAGGAAGAATGGAGGGACGGCAGCAGCAGCGCGCACCCAGGAGTGTGTGTCCCCGCCGGTGCCACTCCTCAGCCCTGTCGGGGTTCGGGGATCGAGCCCTGCCGTGGGCTGGGCTGGGGCGAGCAGGGCTCGCAGGAAGGTGGCCGCTGTATCGCGGGCAGCAGCCCCGCCGGCCGGGCTGACTCGGTTCCGCTGCGGTTTGCGGGGGCATTGCACAAGGAGGGAGGGGAACAGGTTGTGTGTGCCACGCTGGGCGGGATCTGTGCCGCAAAAACAGGGCAGTGCCCCTTCCCCAGGGCTCTGCGGCACACAGAGCATCACCCTATGCTGCTCAGCACCGGGGCACAGCAAAAGAGCCGCTTCTCCATCCCAGTGCCCGGCTCCAGGGCGGAGGTGGCACAGGAAAGTGTCTTTGTAGCTGCCCCCAGGCTGAGCAAAGCCCTGGCTGGCAGCTTGCCTTGTGCCCTCGGAGGGATGGCAGGGGCACAACCTGCACCATCCTTACCCCTGGGAAATGCCTACATTACTCAGGCAGGGCCAGGCCCTCCCTTGGGAAGCAGAGCAGCAGGAATCCAGCAGGAATCCAGCAGGAATCCAGCAGGAATCCAGCAGGAATCCAGCAGGAGCGTGTGCCCTGCAGCATCCTGAACCCCTTCCAGGGAAGCCAACCTTGGAAATAGCCTGACATGTGAAAGGGCTCCTGGTGATTAACCAGCTCCCAGCAGAGCTGATTCGGGTCTGCTCTCCCTCCTACCGTGTGTACCTTTTTCCACTACCTGCAAAGCAAGCCTCAATATCCACCCTGCCATGCAGAACCCCCTCTCTGAGCCCAGGCATGGGCCACCTGCCTCCACACAGAGCTTAAACTTGCTCATGTGCTGTCTTTGCAGCAGCAACAGCCTCTGCACCTCAGACATCTTGATTCCGTTTTTAGAGCAATACCAACAACTACTTGTAGTTAGAAAAATAAAGGTGGGGGTGTTTCTTTCCTGCCGTTCTGCCCTACCATGCTGGGTTCCAGCAGAAGTGAAACTGGCAGGGGCACAGCCTGCCCTGCCCTGGGGCCATGTACCTATGAACATCCCTCTGAGTCCCAGCAGTGGGAGAGGCAGCTCCTGCCCTGCCCAGGTGACCCTCAGCCCTTGGAGCTGCTCTCCTGCCCAGCAGCTGCCCCGAGCCTCTCTGCCTGCCTGGCTGCTTCTTCCCTTCCCATAAGTGAGCACTCTGGGCAGAGGAGCTGCTAGAAAACAAGTGCTCCTGAATTACTGGATATACAGACTCGGCAATCCCATAAAAAGAGACAACTGCATTAAAACATTTTCCAAGGAAGATGTCCAGAGACAGGAAACAAGGTTCATTTACACTGGCCAATGATAAAGTAATTGTAGTGGGTTATGGCTCTTGTGGACTGGGTTCCTCCTTTTGTCTAGAATGAGTCCTGGCGGAGCAGCATCAATTTCTTTGGAACTGGAAAATACAAGTGACCTGCATGGCTCTTGTTTGGCTTTAGCTGGAAGTCAGCAGTCATTTCTGCAGAAAACCCGGCCAAGGCAATTCTACTTACGAGCAGGACAGGGTAAGGAAAGATTTATAATTATTATAATGATCACAATGATCCAAGGGTGGGTGGACACAATTAGATGTGTTCCTGAAACCCTGGTGGAAAAAAAGGAAGTTAGTAAGTTGGGGAAATTCCTCTGGCATATTCCTGGATCTTTCTCATAAAGAAGTAAAGGTAAAGACAGGAAAATACATTGTGTAAGTAACTCTTTATAAATGGTATATCGAGAGTCACAGCCAGATTAAAACAGCTGCATGCCAGGAGAGCGTCTGGCACAGGAGCTGGGAGACTGTGAGCCGCGAGGGACCTCATCACACCTCAGCCTCCTCTGAGGCTGTAGGCACTGCCACATGGACACGGTGGGTCAGAGAGGTCTCGGAGCTCTGAGCACCATAGACTGGGGCTGAGCACTTTTCAGGGGGCCCTTCTCCTCCTTCTGGGGTGCTTGGGTAAGCCTGGCTCATGGTGGGTCATCTCCTGTGGCTGTCATGTGCCCATGGCAGCGGGGATGCAGCCAGCTCCCATGGCATGTGGGTCCATGAGGACCATGGCCAGCGCTGACCCCACTGCTCCCCTGCAGCCCCGGGCTCAGGGAAAGGTTTCTTGGGGCTGGAGAGCCCTGTAGGGGGGAGGAGGGGGTGTGGGCAGGATGTGGGCTGGCAGCAGGGCTGGGATGGGAGGGGAAGAGGCCAGGGGCAGGGAGCGATGCGCTGCACGCTCGAGGGAAGCGTGAGCAGCACTGCCCACCGAGGGACAGCTGACCGTACCAACATGGTGAGTCCTGCTGCTTTCCTTGGGGGTGACAGGGGGTCTGCCTAGACAGGGGGATGAGGGGAGGGCAGGGCTGTGGGCAGGCACTGGCAGGAACCACAGCTGGGGGCTGTGGGACACAGCTGCCCCAGTGACCCCAGGCTCACGGGACACTGCCAGGCACACAGGGCACTGCTGCTGCAGAGACATGCCAGCCCTGGCTGGGCAGCAAGGGGCTCGGGGGGCACAGGACTCAGGGGCTCCCCAGGAGTGAAGTGCCCGAAGTGGGGGAGCTGAAGGAGCCCTTCCTGCAGCAGAGCTGTACCTGGCTGGGAGCACTGTGTGTGCCCGTGTGCCAGTGCCACAAGCACTGCCCTTGTGTGAGTCAGGACTGCCTGGCAGCGCTGTGGGTGCAGTGTGAACCCCTTGGGATGTGCACACTCATGTCTCCCTTCCTGCCAGGGCACTGCTGTGGGACTGCAATCTGCTGGGAGGACACGGGCTCTGGGCTCTGCTGGCACCTACCTGGGCATCGCTGCCATCACATGGGGTAAGCACGCACCACCAGCAGTGTGACCCTGCTGCCAGGGAGTCTGGGAAACTGGAGAAACGTTGCATTGTTATTTTGGGGGCTCATCAGTCACATCCCTCTGGATCCCTCGGGGCTGGGAGGGAGCTGCCCCTGCCTGTGCCAGCTCCCTCCGGGCACACCATGCTCCCCTGGGGATGCAGGGCACTGCTGAGGTCCCTGCAGGATGTTTGGCTCCCCAGCTGCAGCTCTCAGCTGCTGCACTGTGCTGTGAACCAGGGAGAGGCAGGGCAGCTCTACCCACTCCTACACCCCTGTTTGTGCTGGGGAGTTGGGCATGGATGGAGTGACAGGACACACGGCTGTGAGGGTTCACAGCCTGGTTCACAGATCTGGGGCTGCTAATTGACATCAGGAGTATAGAAACTAATTTGGTTTTGCTGCCTGTAGGGTATTTACTTGACATGCTGGTATTGCACAAAGCAAAACCTACTGGTGCCTGCTCTGGCCCTGGAAATCCTCTGTGAGATTAATTGTTTTCCTAAGAAAACTTAGGAAAGTTTTAGTGACTTAGTGACTGAGCTAAGGAACAGAAATGATGCAAGTGCAGAAGTGTCAGGAGGAGGCTGAGATTTGGCTCTGAGAGAAAACAAAAAGACAAAGGCACCTCAACTGCAGAGGGTGCTGAGCACCACCCTGGGAACAGGTATCAGGGCTGCCATGGGAGCCATGGGGTCAAAACACAGGAAAACAGCACCCATGTGGGACTCAGCACCCATTTGGGGGCTCAGTACTCATTTGGGGGGCTCAGTATTCATTTGGGGGCTCAGCA